ATCAGCTCCCAGGCAGATGGTCCTAACCTTGTCTGTTCTGCTCTTTAAGGCACTGTGTGGACTTGTTCCTGGATTTTATCACAATCTTCAGAAAGTTGATGATCATCTTGGCCATGAATGATAAGGTACAGAAACTCCAGAACCGTTTCTCCATCCTGCGTTAGTCACGGGTCGGGTCGCAGAGACGTTCCTGCAGCGTGTCACCAATACTCCTCTGGGTCTCCTGGCCTCGAAAATGAAATAAAATCTACCAACCGATGGTGAATTGTCATTGGAGTTGCTCAGCAGACAGGAAGGAAACACTTTTCACATTCAAAATCAAAAATGCTTTCTTGATACCAAAGGGAAATGAAATGTAACTTATTTTAATTCAAAATGTTCAGAGTTATTGTTGGCAGGAAAGATCTCCTGTAGCAGTCTGTATCGCAGTGAATTTGAAGAAGCCTCTGGCCGAAGAGACTCACGCAGAGGATGGTCAGGGTGGTCTATAATGTTTCCATTTTTTATTTTTGAAGAATCCTTTGCATCATCATCTAACGAGGTTTCAGTCATTTTCTTCATACTTTCATTTAGCCAACACCAAATGTAGCTTTAAACATACTTTCAGTTTTATTTACTGAGGTTTACCAACTTCTGCTGCCACTGCATAAAAATGACTTGTTTTTATCTAAAGATAGTCACATTGAAAACAAGTTAAACATCTCATTAGTCTTCTATTTGAATAATGACATAAATAAGGTATTTAAACTAGAAAAATCTTTTTCAAATCATTTTCTGAAAAGTTTCAGTTTATTAAAAAAAAACAAACAGCAAATACAAACACTTCTTAAAAATCTTTAAAGTTTATTCCCTGATGTGGCTGGTTGGGCTTCTTCACAATGTAAAGACCGAGGCAAATGTTTTATATTTATAGAGAAAGAGAGGCAGTGCAGTGATTTCACAACCTACCTCTGATGTGTAGAGAAGATGATGGGGCCACAGATATACATTAACAGGTATGGCTGCAACATTCTGAGCTGTTGCTAGGACTTGCTGACTCATTATTGGGAGAGGTCAGAGGTCGCTGGGTGGCTCGGTTGGTAGAGCGTGCGCGCCGTTTGCAGAGGACTCCTGGGTCCGAATCCTGGTCTCGGATCAATGGCTGCATCTCTTCCCTTCTCTCTTTTCCAAATTTCCTGTCAATTTACTGTTCGATAAAACAAAAAACATAAAAAAAATAATGTTTAACAGCTGCTGTCTAAACTGAGCAGTTCCACTTTGCATCAAGAACAAATAAAAGCAGAATAATATAATGTTTAGTGAGAGTAAATATATAGTATAAGAAAATACAGTGCAGTTATTAAAAGTCCAGCAGTTTCTCCCTGAAGGAACAGTCAGAAGGGATTTTTGCAGCTGGTTCAAGATGTTCCTCTTTCCTCTCAGCTCCTGGTTTAAATGTAAGAGGTAAGAATAACAGACTGTACAGCAAGGCTTTGGAAAATACATACTGTTATTAAATGCACTCTGATCCCTAAACAATATTAAACTGATGGCTGTCTGTGGGTAATAAATAGAAATGTGTATTTGTACTTAAAAAAAGGACTATTTACAAGAAGTGAAAAAACTGCAAACGACAGCAGGAATGTAACAACTTGTTGAAGTTTGTTGTTTCCAGAAGGAGAGAGGCTGAAAGGACAAAATGTAGCAACTGCAACTTTCTGTTATCTTCTAAACTCTTTCTCAGCCTGAAAAATGCATTCTCCCTTTTAAGCCCTTTCATTTCTGCTTCCTCCAAATTGGTAAACACCTCACATCCACTAGTATAATTATGTAATTGTACAAGAACATAATTAACTGAGTTTTCTTCACTCTGTAATTGCCTCCACGCTGAAGAGTGTTGTCAGAAATCACGTACACAGGGGTTTTGTTTTCAGCCATTTATCATCAGTCAGGGTGGATTTCTGTCACCAGCTGGTTTCTTCTTCTATGGTTACAATCCAGCCTGAATTATTAGAATTTTATAAACCACAGAAAACTTTCAGCTGAACTTTAATAAATCCCTCATGTTGGACATTTCTCTTTGGTTTCTTTTAAGTAAATTTTGATGAGAACTCTTGAAAAAGATTTAGAAACAGTTTTATGTCATGTTATGTTCAACATAATGTTTGGGCAAGGCTAAGGGAAAAATAAGAAAATTAAGTCATAACAGTGCAAGATAAATCACAGTACAAGATGAAAGTCATGAGAATAAAGTCGTAATAGTACGTGAATAAAGTGAGTATTACAAGAGTAGTCATAATACGACATCAAAAAGCCCTAATATTATGAAAAATAGTTGTAATATTACATGGAAACTGATACTAGAATAGTCATATTACCAGGATAAATTCATAATACGAGAATTAAGTCACAGTTATAATAATGAGAATAGTATGACAAAAAACCATGAGAAATTGTAACAATGCCAGAATAAAGTCGGAATAATGAGAATAGTTGTACGACAAAACGTCATGAAATGAGAATAAATTCAGAAAACTTCCAGGGAAACCTCTACGACAGACTTATTACCAGAAAAAAATTGTAATCTTAGATTAATAATTTGGTAATTTTTTGGGAATACTTGTACACAAAAAATAGAATAAAGTGAGGAATGTTGAGCGACTTGTGAAGATACTTTGGTATCAGTTTTACAAGAGAGTCTTTTATAAAAGCAGGACTTTAAAACTGTTGTGAAAATTATACTTTTTATTTTGAAGAATGAATCTAATGGATTTAATGAGCTGGTCATGACAAATGTATAACTATCAAAACTTTGTACGAAATATCGCAACTTTTTTTTTGTAATTTTAAGACTTCTTTCCAGTATTGTTGCATCATTATCCTGCTAATATTAACATCTTATGACTTCTTGTAATTTCAACAACAAAAAGTCTGACCTTGACCTTCTGTAGTTATACTAATCAATTTTTTTGTTTCTTTTTTTAGGAAAAGAAGAAAGAAAAAAAGTAAAACCTGATGGAATCGATGGTCAAATATTAAAATCAGAAAAGGCACAATTTGCGATGCACTTGGTGCTTTTTTTTTTACTTTCTCCTTTTCTCAATCTAACTCTTATGTGGTCTTATGCTTTTGTTTTTTGATTGACTTATTTTTGAAACTTACAAGGGTTGAGTGTAAGTTTGTGGTACCTTGATGGTAGTCCCATGTTGGCTGTGGAGAACACAACACTGCAGTGATCAGGCTCGGCCTGTAGAGGGGGGTGTTGCCTAACAGGCCCCAATTCTGAGCAGCGCTTGAAGTTTCTTACTGTTATTTAGTGCCATAAATTAAGACAATAGACTCGCTTTTAAGACTCATGTAAGATTCAGAAGCTGAATACTGTTTAATTTCTTTTTGATTTTCTTATTTATAGTTTTCCTCAGTTCACAGTGATAAAATGTAAGATTAGTGTCCCATGATTTAGAGAAAATAACCTGCTATAGGTTTTATTCCCTTTCCTTTTTCCTGTTTTGTGTAAGAAATGTTCAAACAGAACCTGTCAGAAAAAACTAATCCCAATAAACCCATCCAGACGGACATAAAGTCGCTGGACAGTCTGGTTTATAAATTTAGACATGCTGGGGAAGGAGACTATCCCATCTGTCCTTTTTCTCTTTTCTTTTTCCCCCACTTGTTTAACAGTGACAGGTCTTTCATCTGGAACCGGCCTCTTGTAAATTTCCCTAAAATCTGCTGTTGAACCTTTATTCTGCCAAATAACAATGTTAACCAGGCAATTTGGCAGCAGCGCAAAATTATTTTTTTCTTTAATTGTATACTGTGAAGATTTTTTGTTGATGTATAACGAAAACTACTAATTTGATATTCGCTCAATAAATGTGTTGAACAGATTAACACTTCCTGTTTTTCCTCAATTATTATATTTTATAATAATCTGCTTAGACACAGACGTGTAAGGTGCTGCACTGCACATTTTCTCCACTTTTTAAGGATGTTCATTTGAAAAAGTAAAATTGTTAAAAAAATTTTTCTTTGCTATGTAATAAAAAAACATTTTTCTTCGAGATGCAGAAAAAATTTATAAAATTTGTGTGAAACTGGAATCCAGATGAGAAACTGAGAGGACGAAGGTTCTTGAGCGAGCAGCGAAAATAAATGTGAAGTAAATTCAGTCTTCCAGTTGAAAAACTGAACATTTATGACAGAATAACAAATGTTCCTGTTTGTGGGTTTCCTCAGAAACAGGGTTGCAGAAAAAAAAAAAAAACATTGTTACAAAGTGAAGTGGAAATAGTTTGGTCCTGACAGGTTAAAGGTTGTTGGTCGGTGGCCATTACTGCTGCAATTACCCACACAAATGATAAATTCAGAATAAGTTTGTTCAGTCTTCTTCTGCAGAAAAATCTGGATCACAGACAAAATATTCAGATGTAATCCTAATCTGCAAACTACGCAAGAACTTAGATTTTAAATAATTACTTAAAACAATTACATGGAGTTAAAATTTTCCAAGTTGATTCATCTAAAAGAGCAGCGTAGTGGCGGATAAATGTCCAAACTACAGGGATGTGTAGTTTGGACTCCTGACCTTCAGACGGTTTTTGTTTTTTCTTCTTTGAATTATTTTCAAAATCTGGCACAGAATTTAGATTATAGCGCTTTTATCACTTTAATGATGCAAGATAAACGGGAACAATAGAAAAACAAATGTGTGCATTGTTTTCTAAATAAAGTGCAAAAAACAGCAAATCAAAACAAAAACCTTTCTATAACTACAAAACAAAAAAAATAAATATTAAGGGAATCTAAAACTAAATTATCGACCCAACACTTGGTATCTTGGATCAACAAGCAGCATCAAAGAATGTAAACTGGCATAGACGACGTCTGGAAACAAAATCCATATTTTTTGTTCTGTATTTGAGAACATTGAAAATAAAACAAAATATCTCACTGAATGCCTTTCCAGCTTGAACCTGAATCCTGCACTTTGGGGGAAAACAAAAACACTTGAAGCGACCTTAAATCAAAACACTTTTATTTAGAAAGTTGAAAAAACGGCAGTAAGGATTTTCTATTTGCTAAGAAACCAACGGCGGAGATGGAGAAACATAAAGATCAGAGCTGAATCTACTCGGCAAAATGGACTGCAGATTTCACGTAAAGATGATTTCAAATAAATAAATAATAAAAAATACATTTCCATCAGATGATGTAGCCTTTTTTTCCCTCTAGTCCATGTTATTATTGCTGGCATATATTACCTTTAAAATGCATTATGATTCAGAAACAGACACGTCCCTGGCTGTGAAAAAAATACCAACATGATCAATAAAATTATTCTTTACATTAAAACATGATGATACATGAGAAGCAACCAGAGAACACAGACATGAACATTCTTTGTTTTTTTTTATTATTATTATTTTTATTATTTTCTAGGCGCTCTCAAGTTTTGTTTTTAATCTTTTCTCAACACTCTACGGTGAAACGATGTCAAGAAGAAGAACAGTATTTCACGACGAATGAAGAGTTTTCTACCAGAATGAGAACGAAAAAACAAAACGTTTCTGAGCGACTAGCAGGAGTACGGAAGAAGATTGGGGCCGCTGGAAAAAGAAAAAAAAAAAAACTCAGAATTCAAGAATTCTAAAAAAAAGTCATAATTTTGAGCTTAAAAGTCAGCATTCTAAGAAAAAAAAACTGAATTCTAGACTCAGAATTCTGGAACTTAATATAAAATTCTAGAATTGAAGATTAAAGTTAAAATTTAGACTATTTTTCAGAAAGTCCAGAATTCGATTTTATTTATTTTTTTCGGTGGCCCTTATCCTCTTCTGTACAGAAGTGACAACCTCTTGTGCTGATCTTTAGCTGGGCCATGCGTTTTTTTTTTGTTTGTTTGTTTTGTTTTAAGTCTTGTATACATCAGTTGAAGAGAAGTGTCCACAGTTCAGTCTGATTGTGAAAAAGTGAGCAACCTAAATTATTTTGGCTTCACGTGTTTTGGAAATCCTGAGGAGAAGAAATCGATCCGTCTTTTCCAGTTGCAACAGCTGACCGACGACAGCAAAAGCACAAATGTTTTCTTCTTCAAGGTGAGCAGCATCAGTACGCCGGCGTGTCAGGGCCAGAGCAGATAATAATGAAAAAAAAAAGGAGGAGTACATTTCAGCCAAAAACCTTTTCAAACAAAACTCAGAAATTGTCTGGAAATTTTTTTTAAACTCATAGAATTTCCAAGTTTTTTTCTAGAAAATTTCTGAGATTAATCTCAAAACTTCTTTTTTCCTAGCAAATTTTTGACTTTTCCAATTCAGAAAATTTCCAAATATCCAACTTTCAACTTTTGAAACTCATAAATCTCCAAGAGTTTTTGTAGAAAGTTTTTGAGATTAATCTCCAATTTTCTTTTTTCCCCCTCTTTTGAAATTCAGAAAATGACTTTTTATAATTCTAACTTCCATATTCTTTTTTTCTGAGATTAACCTAAAAAAGTCTTAGTTTTTCTGGCAAATTAAAAATTTTTCAAACTCAGACATTTCCCAGTTTTTTCTACACAGCATCTAATATCAAAATTTCTAATTTCCTTGGTGGAAATGTACTTGTCCTTTTATTTCCTCCATCTACAATGGCCCCAATATGCCGTCGTAGCTTCAGAGTGAACAGATGGGGCCTCTGCCCCCCGCAGGCCCCCTCTGCCATCACCCTTGGCTGCCGCAGGATGACAGACTGTCGTACAGCGAGTCGCTCAGAGACTCGGGGGTTTCGAGGACCTGAGGGCGGCTGGGGGAGAGCGCCTCCTCTGGCCGCTCCCTGAGCAGCTCAAGCCCCGCCTCCCGGCTCATCTCGGGTACGCTGGGCGCGCGCGTCTTCCCCCTCCGGCTCAACCCGGACTGGGCCGGGACGGGCAGGCTGCCCGGGTCCACCACTCGACTGGAGGACGGGCCGCCGGCTTTCATGTTCTGAAAGAAAACAATTTATGGTCAGCTTATGTAACAGCATCAGGTCCAGAAGACAAAAGTGGGTTGCAGCTGTGAATTTTTAATATTAAAGCCATTAATAATTTCAGAAGAGAAGAATGTAGTTCTGCGTTTTAGCATTACAGAGATTGTTCACGCATCACACAAGACGCACACAAAGCCGTTTTTGTGCTGCCTAAACGCGACTTATTCATCGAAATTAATATTAATACCTCAGTTAGAGGTTGTGGAATAATTGTTGTGAAGAATTAGAACTGTGTTTTTCACTCTTTAAATGCAATAAATGCATAAAAATAATTTGCTAAACAAACAACTTTGATCTTTAGTTTGTCTTGATATGTTTAAGGAAAATATACAGGAAGGATTCTGCTGCTTTGATTATATAATAAAGTGAAGGTGTGATAAGTTTACTGTTTTTGCTCTATATTTTGCGTTGTTGCCACTGACAGGAATTTAAATATTGTTTTTCTATTTCTATACTTGTTTGTTCTTGTGTTTTTGACATGTGTACAGAAAATAAAGACATGAAAAATATTGAAGTAAAAAAAAAGTACCAGTTTCTGTGGCAGATTTTTTCCACTCAGACAATTTTTCCATGTTATAAGTTAAAAATCTCCCAGCTTTTTTCACATGATATTAACTGTATTTCTTAATTAATGGAAACGCAGCATTTTGCAAGTGAGGTGTGGTAAAACAAAAGCCTGTAATGGATCAGAATAACCTTACCATGATATTCTGATTTATTGAGATACATTGGTAAGTAACGTTTTCGCAAATTTATTCAAACTTTTTTTTTGTTTTATGAAGGATAGCTCACCCCTCTGAACGGGGATCCAAATGTTACAGCATCTTCCTCTTCCTCCTCTTCCTCCACGGCCAGGTAAACCTCTGCAGGTCCGGCCGGAGTCTTCAGATTGGGGAACGTCCAAGTCTTGGAGCGAGGAGAGAACACGTTTGCTCCGTGTGCCTCTTTATCTGCAGATGGAAATTAAGACGAATTAAAACCTTCAGGAGAAACAAAGGCAGGAATGCACAAACATTTTGCACCAAAAATCCTCCAGGTTGAAAGGCTTCAGGAGGAAAAATGTACTTTTTCCCCTCCAATATATTACTGTGAATTCTTTCTCTTTTACCTGCACAAAAACAAATTAATCAAGTAACATTGTGATAAACCTGACATTACACTGCAAAAACACAAACTCTTACCAAGTACTTTTAGTCTAGTTTCTAGTGCAAATATCCTAGTACACTTTAAATGAGACAAAACTAACTTACAAATCACTTTTCAGCAACTTGTCAATGTTTCCTTAATATTCATAAATAAGTTAGTTTCACTGGCAGATTGAGCTGAGATAAACTGGGAAGATTTATTTTTTTTCAGGCACCTTCACGTGTGACTCCGGCGGAGCTCCTCCCCTCCAGCATGGAGCAGTACTGGATGGTGGGAATCAGCTGCTTGTGCGACGTGAAGCATTCCTCCTGCGACGTCAGCTCCCGGTCTAGGGTTCGGGCCCGCCGCCCGGATCGACCCGGGGACCCGGCGGCGTGGTGCTCGGCCCCCGCCCGCCCCTTGGACGGGCCCCGGCCCGCGGCTCCGCTGCTGCAGTCAGGAAGAGGGAAGGTACCGATGCCGCTGTCCAGCGTGTAGGTGGAAGCACCGGAACCTGCAGCAGCAAAGAGGAAGCAGGTTTGGGAATGCTTTAGGATCACACTTTAGCATTAGAAAGTGTTGAAATCCCTCTTGGATCTGCAATCCAACCATTAATTTGGAAGTATTATACAAAACTCAACATTTTTCATATTTTGTTCTTCTACTTGGGTTAAAAACACCTCAAGAGATTAAAATTAAGCAATAAATTTGTTTTTTGGTGTCTGGAAAATGTGTCATTTCAAAAACAACTTCACAAATTAGCAGGCACTGACCCAACCTGTTACCGAGCAACCCAACCTGAACTCCAGCCCATTTGGTCAGCTGGTTTTAAACCAGAACGGGACATCAGATCTCAATCACACTAGAAGCTTTTCTCTCATTAAAACAACTTTTTCCTCTGTATTTTAAGAAGTTTTTCGCTGAGCTTACCTCTTTATGCTGCTGGTATTGTGTTTTATTTTGTGTTTTATTGCCACAGCCTGGCTCTAATACTGGCTCTAAAGCCACTTTTTGAAATCCTTTCTGAGAGTTGTACGACGATCCACGCTAAAATCATTTTTGTTTTATTGCCAGAACATTAGCAAATTATTTGCAGAAAAAGATGAGATTTTTTTTCTCAGATTAAACATCTTAAAATTTAAAGAAAAAAGTTTTCATGAGAAAAAAAGCTTCGTAATCAAGGTCTGACGTTTCCAGTTCGGTTTGTGTGATTCTTTCTTTGAAACAGACACACTGCTTCCATGATCATTTTGAAATCCTGCTGCTGATAAGAATTTGATGCTAATGAACGAGGAGCTGATGTGAAACGATCACAGACGTCACAGACTTTTGAAAAAAAACACCTTGAAATCCCTGCAGATGTCTCTTACCTGCAAAGTGCTGAGAGTGAACCGAATCTGCGAGGTTTTCATCTGATGTGATCTTGCTGATTCTGTCTGATCCCTGCATGAAAAGAACCAGAAAACAGTGAACGCTTGAGAGACAAACTGCACGAATCTGATGCCAAATATGGACTTTAAAGCTGAAATCACATAACCAGGTTTTCTTTTTGATGATCTGATCAAAGTTCTGGATGCTTATTTTAGTCTAAGCTAAAAATGAAGAATAAAGGAACCTTCTCCATGTCTTCATGACTGGTGGTGTGACTGATGACGCTGGTCTGCTGAGTGAACACCGGCTTGGAGGTCTTGCAGTCGAACGAGAGGCGGCGCTGCGGCAGACTGATCACTTCCTTCCCATCCACTCTACAGTCATCAACCACAAAATGAAGTTAGCCGACCTCGTTAGAGGCTACACATATATTTCTGCATTCTGAAACCTGCAGTTAGATGAAAAGGCTGAAAACACTTTGATCCATGGCAAGGACTCACAGAAGGACGACCTCAGTAATTACAGTTTCCATACATTGATTGCATACATTAAGAGTCCAAAATAGCAGCTAGAGAACTTTATTGTTACTAGATTTTGGTTATTTGCTTTTAATCAGCTGTCAAATTCAAATGTTTCCATTTTTGCTCCCTGGAAGTTATTTTAAAGACTAACCCAGTTTTAAACTCATGTTGGGTTATTGTAATGGAGCACAGACTAACAGAGTCTCCACTGAGAACAACTGCAGCCTTCTATGTAAATAACTGCCTCATGCAAATGTGATGGTGGCTTAAAATAAGATTCACATGCAGCACAGTGAAACGTCGGCTCTTGTAAAACGGCAGGAACCTGACGAAGCTACATGAACGTTTTGATGTCCACACAGAAACCTGGGCCAGGAACATACAGATTTTTACATACACTAAATAAAAAAAGCACATTTTCTCCTCGTTGTGAAATTAAACCTGAATTAACTTTAGCTGAATTCAAAAGTGTCACATCAATTTGTTTGGTATCAGTGATAACTGTATTTTAGACTGTATGACTTGGGTCTACAAAATGTTCTTGCAACGTTTTCTGGCATTTAGGAAATGTAAATCATTTGTTTAATTCTTAGGGGCCTAAAACAAGAGAGGTTTACCTTCAGAAAGAAGAGAAAACAATGTCTTTTCATTCAGTGAATGTAAATATGTGGTTTAAGCTGTATGATTCTAGAGGTGACCACAACATAAAGGCTGATGAACTTTGGAAAGTTGTTTTTTGTCAGTGCATTCCCCAGATTGCTGAGCCTCGTTTCTGAAACTAACTCACCATCCTGGAGCCCTCACCTGTTAAGCAGCTGTTGCATGAAGTTGTCAGAGCGTCCCCCTCGGTACATTACAGCCAGCTGTCCCTGAGCTTGGTCCATCACCACCTCACAGGAGTGGCCCCTACCGGACCTCTCCACGTAGGCCCTCTCCTCCTCGAGGGCCCTCCGCAGGCCCTCAGCCTTCTCCATCAGAGTCGAGATGTTCAGACCTTCCACGCCTTCTTTGCATCTACTGGCCATTTTGGAGTCTCTGCTCACTGAGGGGATGTTTATCTTCCACTCCTTCTTCTCGTCCTTGGTTTTGGTGGCGTCTGTTTTGCGGCTCAGCGCGGGCAGCTTGCTCTTCTTCAGGCCGAACCAGCTGGCGATGCCGTTTGAGGCTTTCTGCTTGACTTCACTGCTCTGCCCCCCGCGGTCCTGCTCCTGAAGCTTCAGGACGTTCTCCTCGATCCCCTTCATCACTTTCTGCTCAATAGCAGATTGTGGAGTGGGAGCCGGCGGTAACGGCTTCTCCGCCTCAGACGTCGGGGGTCTCGGAGGAGGAGGCGGGAGGCTGTCTCCATACATTGGATTCTTCTTTCCTTTCCCGCTGATTTTTGTCCTCTCCTCTGACTTCGATGAGTAACGCGGCGTTTCCGAGGGCTTCCCGCCCCGGTGGACAGATACACCTGGGCAAGGTTTGGAGGGCGACTTCGGGGGGATTTTGTTAGGACTGTTGCTACTCTGGGGACCACTTTTGACATTGTAAGCCAGATTCAGGGAGCCAGGACACTTGATGTTGTTGCGTAGAACCTGGGGAGCATCTGTGTTGGGAGAAGGTAATCCAATTTTGCTCTTGGAGCCCTCAGGCTTGGGTACACACAGTTCTGGTTTACCTGATTGAGATTTCCCGGTCTGTTCGTACATCTGAGATGGACCCTGATACTTCAAACCAACACTGCTACTTTTAGGTTTACTATCTAAAGAGTCTGAGTACTTTGAATGCCTCTGCTCCTCTTTGTGGACCTCTGAGGATCTCTCGGCCATCTTGCTTCTCTCCTCTCCCGGGGCGCCCTCAATCGCTGCGTCAACAGGCCTGATTTGTAAATCCTCAGAACTCCTCAGCTTTCCCAGCGCCGCCAGTCTGTCTTTGAAAGCGTGGTGACTAGAGTCAGCCTGGGATCTACCCGCCCCAGAGTTAGGCCTCTTGGGGATGGATGAGGAGTCACTTCTTCGGACAGGAGGCGGCGGAGGCTGAGAGGCCGCCCTTATGTTCATCTCATGTTTGTCTCTTGTTCTTGGGTAGCTTGCTTGACTCTGAGCTTTGTTGAGGGCGGCTGTGTTTGGCAAACTGTGATGGTTGACCCATACTGGACTGTCTGAATCCTCTTCATCATCAGACGTCGACTCCGACGTAGATGAGGATGACTGCTTTCGCTGAGGGGAAGGATTCGGGACACTTTCTGGTAAAGACTTAACAAGCTTCCTCTCACCACCGTTTGCCTTTGCTTGAGTTGGGATAGTACTTCTTTTCTCACGACCCTGGGTTGGCTCTTCTTCTCTGGAGGCGGACATTTCCAAGACATTTTCATAATGGGGGACCTTTTGGGAAGCTCTGGGAGAACCCAAGGATGCAGCAGATGGATTTTCCAACTTTGAGCCATCACTGGTTTTTGGTGCAGAGAGACTGCTGTAGCTTATTTCCTTAGGAGTCAGAGAGCAGACATCTTCAGGCTGTGGCGGGGAGGTCGGTGCCGAGTGTGTAGCAGGGTAGGACTCGGACCTGGACGGTGGGGGTGGGGGCTGCTTGCACCTCTCCGTGGTGGTGGCTCTGCGGGAAGGAACCGGAGAGTGATACACCTCGTAGTTGTTGGTGCGACATGGGATTCTGGAGTTGCGCGTGAGCTGCGGGCTCAGGCGAACTGCCGCGGTTGGTGGCTGGGCCTTGTCCCCTATTGTCGGGATCTTCAGGAACTTGAGCAGCTTGGATGGGGAATTGATGGCCGCAGCTTTGACATCATTGAGGCAAGAAGGGCTCGGACTGACGGATGCACCGGCTCGGACTGAGGAAGCTTCCTGGTCTGTGAGGTCTCTCTCGGGGATAGTTGAGGGGTCATTCAACGTGGTGCTGGACGAATGCCCCAAGCCGTTGTGAATGCCGCTGCTTGTATCCGCAACACAGTGAGGGATTTGCATGCTCTCCTCTACAGAACGGGGCAGATTGGAAGTGCCACAGAAACCAATCAGCTCCTCAGAAACAGCACTTTCAGAGCTGTCCTGTTCCACTCTGGCCACCTCCAGACCCTGAGCTGTCTCTGTGGCTGAGTGGGCTGAGGTGCCTACTGGCTGCTGGTGGACCTTGTTGACGGTACATTGCTTGGACTCTCCTGCTCTGGTCTTACTGTGACATTCGCTCATAGCAGCTGCGGGAGCATGACTCTGGGTGGAGGAGCTGGCTTTTGATGGACTACAGACATGGTTGCATGGCTTCGGAGCATTGTCCGGACTCCTTTTGCAGTGTAAACAGCACGTGCTCGCTCCCTCACACTTCACCGCCCCGTCGCCGTTGACGTGCTGGTGTGCGTCAGCGTCGCTGCAGGAGCAGTGACAGTGCGTGTGGTGGGACTTGCACTGGACCGGGTGGGGGTCTGCGGTGGCAAGAACAGCCTCTGTTGACATCAGCATCTGGCTGTAGTCGCAGAAAGACAGGCTTGTGGTGGACGGGTGGAACTTCAGGGGGTCCGTCTCCTCCATTTTGCGCAGGACTTCCAGGATGTGCGCTTTCTTCTTGAAGAATGGAGACAGGGCCTCCATGGAGGCGGCGGGGCCACGAGGGCCTGGGGAGGCATGTTGGGTGCGGAAGCCATTTCCCTTTTGAAAGAAGGAGATTAAGATCAAAAGTGTATTCAGTGTAGACACCTAAACAAATTGAACAATCCAGTTCATGAAGACCTTTGAGTGCATGCGCACAGGAAATGACTGTGAAGGAGATTAGCAGCCTGAGCTAAAAACAAAGCAAAGGTCAGAATTCAACACACCCACAGGTGGGGTTTGTGGACCCACTATTTTCTTCTCAGTGTCTGTTAAAACTCTACATGCTTGACTCTTTAATAATCACCTTGGCTTGTGCTTCAGTCTGGGCCGGCTCCACCTGTTTGGCCGAGTCGTTGTGCAGCTGTGCATTGTAGTCTGGGAGGGTTCCCGCCTGGACCTGTAACAGGAGAATCACGGGGCAATTAGGAAGACTGCACATATGCCAGAGGCCATTAGAGAAACACAAAACAATGAGACGGTTCATTTTTGTAACTGTAGGAACAAAATGAGACACAGATTCACCGCTGCGTCAGGGAAAAAGCTTTTAGACATTCAGACAATTCATCGGTGATTAAATTTAGATTTTACAATAATTAATACACTTTTCAACCAAGAAATACAATTTGTTGCCACAACTACACAAATGATAATACACTGCTCTACATTACAACGTCACTGAACAGAAGTTTAGAACCAATCAAAGTCAGGATGTGCCTCAACTTTCTCCAGCTACACAGAAACGAAACTTACGCTGTCAACTTTGAACCTAAAGAGGGACGATCTGGAGGCAGCACACAGCTTCAGTCATTACAAATACAAACTAAAGATCAGGCCCGAAATCTGGATGTAGTGATGAACTCTGACCTGAACCCACAGAGCCACATAAAGAGAGTTACAAAATCGGCCTATCGCCTGAAGAACATTTCCAGGATTAAAGAATTAATGTCCCAGCAGGATCTAGAGAAACTCGTGTGTTTTTCTTTAGTTGCATGGATTACTGCAACTGGGCCTAAAATGTCAATCAGACAACTAGAGGTCTTACTCTGGATCAGAGAATGGACCTTAAAATGCTTCTGTACTGAACGGATTGGTACTAAAATACATTTGCTGCTGTTGTATAAACCTTCCAGACCTCTTCTGGCTTTCAGCTTCTGTGCACCACAAATCTGAAACAAACTTCCAGTTTTGTGCAATTTTGCAGAAAATTGCAAAAACACTGACTTCCTGGAAATCAAGTCTAAAAGTTGATGAGCTAAGAGTTGCTTATCAGTATATTTGTTGTATACTTGATAATGATTTGGATTATAGTATCTAACAAAATGTGATCTTCATTGCTTGTTTCATAATTGATGACTGTGTTATGTTTTTATGACGTAAAGCACCTTTTATTGCCCTGTTGATTAAATGTCCTGACTTGACTTCATTCATTTTAAATATTTTTTGGGACTCGAATAAGTAAAAATGTAATAACTTTCTGCCCCAAGAGATATTCAAGAATGACAGGTCAGCATCTTCCATGCCTGACAATGATATCATATCTAGTACAGAAATACAGAGGAGATCATTTCAGTTCAAATTCAAATATCTGCAACAAACGTTTCAAGTTTTTCTTGCATTTTCCGTGAAAGTTGTTGTGTGGAACTGTGATCCGAGTTACCTGGTAGTGAGTGGTGGGGTGGTTGGGCAGCTTCTGCTGGAAGAGCTCACAGAGCGCTCGGTTCTGCCTCTCCAGGTCAAACACCAACATCTTCAGCTTGATGCACTCCTCCCGCAGATCCTGCTCAGAGTCGGATCACAGCGACTTTCTGTTTACATCTAATCCAGGGGTCAGAGGCCAGAGGTTTAGATTCAAGACAAACTGAAGTTTGGCGTTACCTTCTGATTAAGCAGAGCCTGGACCACATGATTGGCCACCTGTCAGCGAAGGAGAAAATCATCACAGTTACGTTTGGGCGCTGCGTTTTCTGAACCATTAATTCCCGACGTGGACTCACCTCATCTAAGCAACGTTCATACGCTTCCCTCTGGCTCTCATTCGCCAACATCAGAGCAGAGTTCTCCGCCTTCAAAACGATGAGCGACGGGTGAAAATCAGATGTTTACAGATAAACACTAGAACTGCTGGACAAGATGATGGCGGTGGGCATTTAGAGGATCAATTATCACAACAGATATTTTGATTTGTTGTTGTCGTCACAATAAACTCCAACTAACTTTAACCCCCAAAAATGTCAGAAATGTTAATTTCACAATTTTTTTCCAGTTTGTTCAATAAAAGTAACAATAAAATTTGAAAATATGATTAAATGCAGTTATGATCCAGGAGTTAATGATATAAATCATACTTCTTTATCTGTCAATTGTCTTAAAAACAAAGCAAAAATTTGTTATTTTTGTCACTTTTATTGTTATCACAATAATACTAGAAATTATGGTAAAACTACGTCCCTGTCGCCCACCTCTACAACATGATGATTTGTCAGAAAAACCCAAAGTATTTATAAACATACCTATGTAAAAATATTTGCCGTTTCCTCTAGGGGGCGCCACAGCAGATCGTCCGACTCCAACCCAAACACCATGATCTGGTTCTGTGTTAGAGGTCTTATTAACTCACCTCCAGCTCTCGGAGTCGGTCCATCAGTTCGCTGCTGTTGTCCTCCAGGTAGGACTCCACGTCTCCTTCCTCGCCCTCCTCTTCCTCGGAACCAAAATCCTCATCACACGTTCTCTGTTCTGCCTCATCCGACATTGTTCTCATCTGCAACAAAGAGAGGAATTCTGCTGCCATAACTGCGGCCATCTTTATCCTAAACTAAAGGCAAAGCTACTTTGGACGAACATGTCAGATGTTGGTTAGACACAGTAAAATAAAGACTAAAGTGTTTAGTTGGATAGAGACTTTTCCCAATGTTTGAGAATAAACTTGTCTTGAATTTCTAAGCTTTGTTCTGTGCAGCAAAAGCTTTTTGACATTTTAAACTAACCATGCTTAGCATTTAAGCTAAGTAAGCTACTGTTTGGATCATCCAGGCCAGCAGAGGGTGCCAACTCTCTCTCACATGCACAAACAAGTGAACAATCCAGATTTGTCGTTCAAAGTGTAACTAAATTCCCTGTGAAAGCAAAACGCTACCCAACACCTAATTTAGAAAAATGCCACCAAAAGTGGGCGGAGCCAAGATACGCTGGGGGGCGGGGCCAAGTGTGGGGATGTGTTCAGGTCAAGAGTCGCCAACTTAGCAATTTTGTCGCTGTGTTTAGCAAATTTAAGATACTTCCAGTAATTTTCCTTTTTAAGCAGCACCTTCTAAGTACCAGTTTAGACACTTAATGCTAAAAAAGTTTATTTGGGATTTTGTTACTCTTTAATAATAAAGCCATTTTTAAATTAATTTTAAACCGACCAATTTATTTCGTATAAATTGGTTATTCGGAGTTAACGCTTTGAAGTGTGAGTGGTTTGCAGTCATATATCCGTTTTTTCTGTATACACTGAATCACATCTTAAAGAAACTAATTGCAAATAAATCTTAACAAATTTTATTTTGCAATTGCCCGGAAACAAAACTAATTTAACTTTGACAACGGTTTGAAAGTTTCGTACCAGACGGGTCTGTCTCTGTAATCACAAATACTTTTAGATCACCAGATCTTAATATCAAACAAAGATAACCAGAGTAAATATAAATTGCAGGTTTCAAATGATGAAAACTGAGCCCAGACCTAATAACTGGTTGTGCCGCCCTTGGTGGGAAGAACCGCTAACAAGCGTTTCTTATAACTGGTCATTATCTTTTACACCCTGCGGACGGATTTTGGCCGGCTCTCCTTTGCAAAAATGTTTTAATTCTCCCCAAATGAAGGTTTTCAGGCCAGAAATATCCATGTAAGGTCACTATGCTTTGTCTCAATTGGATTCTAACATTTAAATCCAGACTTTGACTAGGCCACAGTGGATTAGAAGTGGAAATGTATGACAAATTTTTGAGGATTTAGTCAGGAGTAAACTGTTCTGGGGACGTTTTGGTTAGATGTCTATGAAGCACATTCCAATAATCCAGACGAGACAAAACAAAAGATTTCTATCTCAAACTAGGAGAAAACAGAAGTGAAGCTGGAAATGTTTCACACAAAAAAAAACAACAGGAATCAAACCAGGGATTTGACATGATTCCAAAGTTTCTAACATAAACCAAAAGACTCAAGAATCTTCTCTGTCTTTAGAGTCATTAGTTTTCTTTGTGCAAAAAAAAAAAAAAAATGTTTGTCATTTTAATTTAGCTAATGGTTACCAAGAACCCAAGCCAAGACAAGAAGATATTTAACAACGTCAGCATCTTTGTCTGAATTATTCATCTTCCCAGAGGATTTGTAGCATTTTCAGAATATAGATACAAACTTTTATCTTGAAATGAGGACAAAGCTCAACCCCAAAATCTGGACAGACAGAAGAAGGACGTATGTTTGGTTGGACATTGGGAATAATGTCCATTTTATTTGCATTTTCCCCATTTATTCAGACCTGAAACACACTTGGTTTAAAATTGGTATCCAACGAGGTTCTAAAGCGAAACCACGTTGTGGAAAAATGTTTTTTCCGTCATCCCAGTTTGGTTTATTGTTTCAAACGCTGCTGCTGCTGCTGTAGTAAACTTCCTCCATCCGTTTCCCTGAGCAAACCAAAACAAACACTGACCAACCTGCCTCTGCTGCTGTCTCCACCATGTAACCCGACTAACCCACACACACACACGCACGCACGCACGCACGCACACTGGCTGTGTGCAGAGGTAAGCCTTCATGTCCATTTCCTCCACAGATCAGGCAGCACCAGCAGCGCCACGCCGAGCGGACCGGCTGCCCGGGTCTGAGAGCGCGGCACGCTGCAGGGCGTGAGGCTGAGCGCCGGTCCGCCAGGCGGGGATCCAGGTGAGAGAGTGTGTTACTGGGGAAGGTCGGTGTGTGGATCCACATCCTGAGGAGTCATTAGAGCGGATAAGACTTGCCTGGTTCTGTGGCTGGAGGCCAGGAAGAAACTGGCACAGTTTCCAGTTTTTCTGACCGGTCACAAAAGCTGCCAAGATGAAAGCATTAAAGCAATAGCATCGATCATTTAAGGACATTAAGAGCTGAGCTCAGGTAAATCATTGGTTTTATCTTCCATTAAACCTGATTTCTCCCTGGATGTTGCCCCTGAACAGTGAGTCACCCGGTTAAACTGGGTTACATGTTCCTCCTTCACACGATGTGGTTTAGTTAACCTCACTCCCACACGTTGCTGTGAGAATCTGGGTTAATCCTACGATCAAAGACGCTCCAAAGAAACGCTTCATTCACTCCGATCGAGCCGGGTTCCAGTAAACCGGTTCCAGCAACAGCACATAAATCATTTTCCAAATTTATCTCGCTTTGTTTCAACTCTGTTTCCATTAAATTTCAAATATAAGATGAAACGTTAACACAGATGATTCTGCAGAAAGTTCTCTAGCCTAGCGCTGCTTTAGCCATGGTCAGGTTATCCTTTTCAACCTTACTGTGGTTAATGTCGTCATCCTCTGCTGGTTCCCTTTTTGCCTGTGATTCCACAGAACAAGTGAATGTTTTCAGCGAAAAGGGAAACAAGAGGAGTGCTGGAAGTTTTCTGAAGCCATTATTTATCGGCTATCATTTCCACTGAACCTAAACCATTTACCTGGAACTATTTTAACAAGAGGATGAAGGAAAAGCAATTTCTATATTAGGTTTATTGTTTAGTCATGTCAGGTTGATCTAATCAGAAGTTCATATTTCCTGCTAACATATTTTACATCTTTTAACTCCTTTACTACAACTTTTATGTCCTGAGGCACAAATCCAAGATGAAGCCGTCCATCTGTGCATCCTTAAAAAGTATTTTTTTAAAGTCTTAAATTCATCGAAAATTAAGGTCTTAAAATGTCTTAAATCCATTTTAATAGCTGTAATTTCACCTTAAATATGTTAATTACAGGTCTTAAATTCTGTTGCACGCAGACATCTTGATTACTTTATTTGATGTGAGGCAGTGGGGGCTAATGCTAACTAGCTTCTAATATACCCTAGCTAGCTAGCTTTTTACATCCAACACAGTTAAGGGTGAATTTACCACTAATTTATTCTCTTTTGCATATTTTCATCAGGATGCAGGTATTAAATTTGAATCACAATGGTCTTTAAAAGTATTAAATTGAGATGGTGAAGCCTGCAGACATCCTGTTTGTGGTTAATTGATCAAATGTATCACTAGTTGACTGGATGATGTTTGTCTTCACTACTGACTCACTCCTGTTGCGAACCCATACGATGCTACATGCATCTGCTCAAAAAAACTCGAGTCAAGGCTGGAGAGAGCCATATGCAGAAAGCTGCTGCCAAAAGCCACAGACAGACCCAGAAATGTGTCAGTTTTGCTCCCTTGGCGCGGCTAAAGCTCCCCAGGAATCGCTTTGTGCTGCTGATACAAGAACTGGCCTAAGAGCAGCACTTGGTACAACAAAAACTCTGAAATTTGAGTTTAAGCGGTTTTAAGACATGGTGGTAAAGCACCAGTTTAACCGAGAGATTATTTTTATTTTAACAAAGTTGTTATTATGGAGGTAAATACAGCTTAGAAAAGGAAAAGGGTAGATCATGGAACCAGAGTATGGAGCCACAGATTCAACTGTATGACAACAAACAGTAATAAATGTATTTTTCTTTTCTTTTGTACATTTGTCACAATACAGGTCTTAAATTTCATTCACAATAGTCTTTAAAAAGTTTTAAATTTGAGTTGGTAAAACCAGTAGAAACCCTGATTCAGAGTATTGGAAATACACTGGGTTTGGTTTGCAACCAAACAACTGCAGAGGCCAAGGAGAAGCAAACATCAAGCAAGGCGAGGAAAATCTAAATCAATTTGGATTTCTGCTGTTTATCCATCCGAGCTTCTTATGACTAAAACCAAAGAAAATATTCCAAATATTAAATGGGAATCACCATCAAAACACAAGACACTACAGCAGATAGTTGTAAATGTTCATCGGCTTTCAGAGCTGTCAGAAGAAATGAGCAGAGACCCTGCGAGTAACAGGAGCTGTTTGCAAAGTGTTTACTGGAAGATTATTGAACATGGCCGACAGCGATCCCTCACGGACCAACCTGAGCAGCAGCATCTGAAGCTCCGGCTGCTTATGGACCGCGATTGACTCAACGCAGTCACATCTAGAGGAATAATGGAGGGCTGATCAATGGAGCCCATCTAAGAACGGAAGCAGGTTTTCACCGGCCGGCCGACCTTGGATGCAGGAACGATACCGAGTGGTTATAAATACCAGCTTCTCTCCTCACTAATGCACATTAAAGCTCCGGGCGGCGACGACCAAGGCGCGTGCACGTTGCTCCGCGTGCACGTTGCTCACGTTGCTCCGCGTGGAAATTACAGCATAGAGCAAAAGACAACAAAACTGGGGCTAAATATATACATGACCGTTTGGTTCTGCGTTCACTGATGTGGTTTCGTCTCGAAGACAGATGAAGCTGTGTTTTTAATTCAGGCACAAATCATAAAATACTTTAAACTGTTTTAGCTTAAGCTAGCATGTTTCATGTTGTACTGAATTGTGTTGAGTTATTTTACTTGGTTTTTAAAAACAAATATGTCCGCCATATTGTTTTAAACACAGAATGGGTTTCAGGAAAGTTTTCATCCACGCTGAAATAAACCACTGAGCGTTGTATGAAACTAGAGGTGTCCAAAGTGCGGCCCGGGGTCACTTGTGGCCCTTGGATTGATTTTTGCGGCCCCAAACTGCTGTTCATATGATGGAGGGAGAGGAAGAGGAGGGAGGCTGCACGGCTCCTGAACTGCCTTGATGCCTGCGGTTTGGGAGGCTGCACACAGAGCCTCTTTGACGGGCGGAGGACCGGCTCGGTGGCTCCCGGCGGCGCAGCAGTGCCGGCGGGCTCCTTCCACGGAGCCGGGCTGGCAGCCGCTCAGCCGCCGGTTCTGTCACAGAGAAACCACCGGGGGAATGCAAAGCTGCTGCTCCGAGGAACAATGACGCGTTAGTATTCCCCTCCATGACAGAAACTATTGTTCCTGTTGGTAAGTAACGCGAAGGAGCCGATGCGTGAATCGTAATCCCACATCGGGTGATGGAAAGAACCGAACCGCAGTATCGTGAAGTCATTTCCAGCCCAACAGCTAAAATAATCCTCGGAAGAACAGCAGAAGTCTGAAAAGTAGCTGCTGCAGACTATCGGATTTTTCTGCAACCCAATAATCAAACCTCTGCCTGGTTTCTGCATTTAAATACAACCTTTGCTACAAAGGCATCGCTCAAATTTAAAATAAAGCTGAAATTTAAAGTCCGTGTGCAACCACACCGACGAACATCAATATTACGCCCCCGCTGCTTCACCCTGCTGTAATTTAGTTCTGGCTCGTTTTGTTGTGAGGAGAAACTAGAAAAGCAAAACTGCAAAGGGTTGAAACATTATTTCAAAAGCTGCTTCAACAATTGTAAAAATGAAACAACAAATTCATCTTTATTAAATCCGATCAGAGGCTGAGATATTTTCTCTTGCTTTTAGAAAAAAACAGGAAGAAAACTACCAGAATATCATTTCTTCATGAAAATGGCTCCTTGTTTTTTTATTATTATTTAAAGGAAAACTTTAAGAGTTCATCTCTTTAATAAGTTATAATCTTTGATGACTTTTAGGCTTGTCACCACAAGTTATTGCGATAAACTATAAATATTGTTTTTAGATTATTTTCCACTAATATAATGGCAATGGCATAATGAAATAAGAACAGATTATAAAAGCTTAATAAAATGTTAATGCTAATGAACATTTAACACTGGAACTTTAAGACATTTTGAGTATCCAAAACAAAAAATAAAATTAATTACCAAGTCTCTATAAACAAAATTATTCTTCAACTAATCGAAACCAAAAACTTTTTTTTTTGGTTAAAGACAAAATAAAAGAGAAAATTATGCAAATGGAAATTATTGAACTCGTTTTGATTTATGATGCAATCCACTGATTTATTGCTCACTGCGATAAATTAAGATTTATTAAGATTTATTGCTTAATGCTTCAGCTGATAAATTGTTCAAAAGCTGTAAAAACAAACCGAGAACTTTATTAATTTAAATTAAATCTTATGGCTGTGATCTTTGCTCTTGGATAGAAAATAGTTGGCGAGGCATTCAAGTTGTACTTGGAAATTTCAGTTTCCAAGTTCCAAGCCATAAAAGTGAAGCGTTGATGTTGGAGCCACTCTGGGTTTGTTGCCCAAAGTGGCTGCTGAGCTTCACAAAACTGCAGGAATCGATTGTTTATCTGGACTTCTGATGGGTTTGCAGAACCTTTAGTCCGACAACCACATCTTTTCTTTGTTGTGTCTCATAAATGCGTTCAAAGGTTTTATTGCTAATATTTGTCTGCAGTAAAACAATTAGCAAACCCGACTGGTTTTACTATGTATCGGTGAACCACATGACCGTCGGTTCGGCCCACATTACCACACGAACATTTGGTAATAATCTTTACATCTATTCATTCCCATTAACAATTATGTCATAATCGTTCAACACTCGTAAACACTTGCTTTATATAATCTTAAATATTGATTGAGCGTAATATTTACCATCTAAAAACGTTAAAATTGTCTTTTTGAGAAAATAGACAAAGATTTGTGCCAATTTGTAATGGAAGCGCGGCTGCAGAAACATATGAATCAAGCACAAACACATAGCATGTAATCACCTTGTGTGAAATAAGAGGCACTGCAGAGAACTGAAGCAAAGCTGCCTGCGGGTGATTATAAAGGAGGAGGACGGCGAAGAAGCAAACAGATAGCAGGGAAGCTCAGAGTCTTTTTGTTTTGGTTTTCTAAATGCACCCTTCTCAGGAGCCCAGAGTCCATCAGACATGGCCGAGTGTAAACAAAGAGCAGCGAGGCACCGCTCGCAACGCAAGGCTCCAATCAGAGGACAAAAAGAGCCAGATCGTGTGTTCGGCCTCCGAGCCAAGCCGGCACGTTGCGCTTTTGTTCCTCCTGAAAGTGACTCAAACAGATACCTGCAGATAAAAAATGTGATCTGCAAAAACACGCAAATACGCCTCAACATGACACCTGCTGTAAATAAATAGCCTTACTGTCCTCTAAGCAAATCACCCAGCAGCATCTGAAAGGGCTGGTTTAACTTTTCATACGAGAAAACCACAGAAACAGAGGGAGGCTTTTTTTTTTTTTTTGGTTTTGGTAAAGTGTCTCTCTAACAGGAAGCCGGGCGACAGAACAGACAGGAAATTCAACAGGGAAGTGGCACATTTCAATGGAAAAGACATTTAAGCACAACTAATTTCCCACCACTCAGCTGTTGGTCTTTCTGTCCTAAGATGTTTCCACCAAACTGCATCTGACTGTGGAAAATCAGACCAGTTTCTTTTATATAGTTCCAGTCAATAAACAGTCGATTTGACTGAGTTTTGCCACCATTTCCCCGCAAATCAGGAAGGAAGGAAGAGCTGATTTATGGTAAGAGTTTGAATCAGTTCAGCTTATGTCTAAAGAACTGGTCTGAAAAAAGTTCATCAAACGGCAGCCTGGCCCGTAAAGTTTCAGGGATTCCCAAAAGATTTCTTTTTTTAATGAATCAAAATCAGAGTTGTTTGAAATCAAACCATTTCAAACGATTAACATGAGTTTTTTTAAATGGCTAGACTTTTAAGAATTAGCACTGGGACCTAATTTCGATTCATTTTTATTTTAATTCAGATAAAAGGATCCAACACGGAACCTTTGTTGTGCGTTTCTGGTACGCCCGTAAATCTGACGCACAATCGATTGAAGCCGCTTCTTTTGACCCACTGGGGGTTAATTTCTGCTCCAAACAAACTAATTGGTTGCTGGAAAAGATTATTGTTGAGTTTAACCTAAACAACAATAAAAAGTAATTAGTTGTTGAGCTAATATGTCTATTTATTCAATAATCTAGAAGCAAATTTGTTGGGTTTTTTATATTGAAAATGTCAATTTATGATGCAATTCTGAAAGATTCTGTGGTTAACTTATAGTTTATTATTTTAATGCTAATCAAAATAAAATGTTTGCAAAAATAAGAAAATGTCATACAGGAAGAATCAGGTGATCTGGCTGACCTGTGGGTTGAGCTCCGATTACGATTCTCCCGTCAAGCTCCTCTGTCCCCCCGACGACGACGACGCCACAGAGCTGAGGGAGAGAAAACATCAGCAAATGTTCAAAACACAGAAAACCTCTTTTCACTTTACATTACCCACACAAAACTGACCTGCAACACATTCGCTGCAGGTCCTGCATTCACATGGTTTTCAGGAAATCGAATAAATAAATTGCTGTTCAAGAATTTGGGTCCACCGTTCTCGACAGAATTGCTAACATTCAGATGGATTGGAGGGTTTCCGAGCATAAATCGCATCGATGGAATCACATTGAAGTCATGTTCTTTGATTGCCGCAGCTCTAAACCTCGCAGCTCGCTACCAGCTTTAGTTTATTTGCTGTTCAGAGGTGAACTTGCTTCAGAACCAGTAGATTCAGTTTGACTGAAGACTAAACTGCAACGATTGTTACATTTTCAGCCACTGCGGTTCACTGTGGTAAACCAACCAAACCTTTTGAAAAACCAGCTCCCTCTCCTCACCAGAGGGGGCGCTGCACCAAGAACCACTGATTGAAGCGACACAAAAACTTTTGGAGACACTAAGCGCAACTTCCTCCTTCACCAAATGTAAACAAAAACAGAGTCAGATGTTAGCGGCTGCAGGATTTCTCTTTTGTCTTTGGTAAAAAAAAAAAAAACACAAGCCATTTCTTTCACTAGCACTAGATTAGCACATTAGTTTTTGTTGTATTTACCCAGAATGCCCTGCTCTGTAGTCCACTTCCTGCGCTCGGTGTGGTCTCCGGTCCGCTTGGCGTTCACACATGCATTCGATCCGCTTCAGAGTTCGCGTCAACCTAACTGAGGTTTGTAGGCAGAGTTTCCTTTTTGGTCTGCATCAGAGTTCGATTACTCGTTCACGCTTCGCCAAACGAACCAGATTTCTCTGGAAACAAAGGAGAGTTCCACTAACGCTGACTAAACAGGACTTTGGGGAAACACCCTGAACGTCCTACACACAGAAGCTGCCCACATCCTTACAGGGACAAGAGGACATAAATCACATCTACCTTTATGCAAAACAATGCAGCCCTCAAAACTCAAAGATGAGTTATTATTCCTTCAACTGTTTAGGATGTTGATGTCTTTGGGTGACACACAACACATTCATTATGTTTTTGCACAAAATCACTCTTAATAAGAATGACTTCAGTTTGATGAGTTCTGCCTATTTTGAGCTGTTTTAGGGCCTCTGTCACTTTAAATCCACATAAGCTGCTGCTGGCCACGCATCCAACTCATCGTTTACACTCACACAAGGAAATGCCTGAAAACAGATGCAAAATTATACAACCACGCATTTTTGAAAAGCAGAAGTGGAGCCTTCTGCACAACCAACAAGAATGCAGGACGACACATCAACAACAAAACACTTTTCTTTCCCAGCAGCCATTGCAAAGCGGTACAGCCAGCTGAACAAATGTGTTGGAATGCAGCTTAGGTTACTAGGTAACGGGCTGTGCTTCGCCGGGGTTGCTAGGTAACGGGCACTGCCTGCTGATATGTGGTGTTACATTCTGGTGGTTTTTGAAACAGTTCATTTCAAAAACAGTTGGGTGTGTTTTAATTAAATGTTTTTAAGAAGCATTTGAAACCCAAATGATAAACAAAACATACAAAATGTACATTTTAGACAATACGTCCCCTTTTATCCCGATCTGCCAGAGACAGTAGATTTGTCTTGACAAAACAAACAAAAACACCTGGAGTATATTATGTTAGTCTGATGTTGGCGACGTGAGCCTGACAGCCCGTGCTCCTCTGGTCAGCTGAGAGAAGCTGAGAGCAGCAAATGTTGGTCTGGGCCAACATGCAAAGACTGGGCAAAGTGACAACCAGAGGAAAAATGTGGGGAACAGAAAGTGGTTTCTGGAGAAACACTCCTCTTTTCCAGCAGCCATTGTACAGCTCATTCAGCTGACTAAACGTGCTTTCTTTAAAAAAAAAACAGCTGCACTCAACAGATTTTCTTTGTACTCCTGAGCTATGAACTCGTCTAGCTAGCATTTGTGAGTCAACTCATAAGATGGAAACAATGATGTGCCTCTTATTAGTGGGTGTGAAAGGAGTTATTTTTGCTGCGACCTTCTAACGCTCCACCAGCGAACAGGAAACCGGGAGGACGGTTCTCCGTCACCCTCGGGATAAGACCACATGCCCCCTACTCCTCTGTCTCGCCCTTTTCTTCAGTCTCTTCTTTCCTCCTTTCATCTGAGTCATTGTAGAGGAGCAGCGATGAATAATTCAGCAGATATGCTGTTTAAGATCACACGGGATGCACAGCGCCACACAAAGACTTCTTACAGTCTAAAGTGGGATTCCCCATCAACCTTCTTAATTAGGTCAGGAAAGGGAAAGTTCAGATTATAAGCAGGACACTCCATCTGCCGCCGTGATTCCCTTTTATTTGTGACATAAAATCAGCAGTTTTGTTGCAACAATAACTCCTCATCCCTGAATGTTTCCCTATCTGAGCCTGATCCCACAGGATCTTATCAAACGGGAATGGGATTAGAGTGTGGAGCATCTGCCAGCTCAATCTGGGTTTAAATCGAGGATCATCTGGTGTTGCTGAACTGCGCCCTGTACACCTGGCTCGTGACCTGTGACCACATCACATTGACAATCAAATCTGATGAGGAAATACAATAAAAACTCAAACAGAAACAAATTGAGTTTGATACAAAATTTTGGAAGAAATTAAGAAAAAAAACTAACATTTACTCTTTAAATCTCTAGTAAATGTGTGAAGACGCTAACCTGAAACTGCAAGTTGAACTTTATCAATAATTTTAAAGAAGAAAAAAAGTGAATCTCAGTTATTTTGTTTAGGTTAACAAACACAAATTGCTACGCTAAAAGCAGAATAATAGCCAAAATGGCAACATTAGCATGAAACCGTTTTATCTTACAATAACAGCAGAATTAGTCCATGTTCAAATGGTAAGTATGATGCTAGCATTAGCTAATATGCTAACATTAGCATGAGATGATTTTATCTTACAATCTTAGCAGAATTAGCTAAAGTTGCTACTAGCATTTACTAACATGTTAGCTAACACTTGGTGCTAAAACAAAACCAATCAAATAAATAACGCCGTGGAGTGCATAGAGCAGGAAAGGGTACGCCAGTTTGACAGCATTTCAGATATTTAAAACAAAAAACTGATCAATAATCATCAGCATCAATAATTACTGATGTTGACTGATATGAAACGCTTTTATTGTGATAAGACGTTTGCAGTAGAAACTAAATCAAAAATATTTGGTAATATTATATCTGCAGTGAAAGTGATGTACAGAAGAGCCTTCAAATAATACTAATATTAATTTCTATGGCAGAAATGTTTTAGATAAGTTTTTAATTTATATTTAAACAAATAAAAACAATAAACAAGGAGATGCAGCCATCATCCTCATCTGAAGACTCAATGTTTTGACACAAATATTGAAGAAGCGGTTTGACGCCAAAAGAAGGAAAGCAGAAAGTATCAAAGGAAACTGCTGCAGCAGTGAGAAGAAATGCACAAAAGCTTCTCAGATCATGTCAGCCTCACTGCAAGGGATTTGGTGCAGGAAGGACCGTCTGCGGATGTGTCAAACGCCACCTTTTCCATCTGCCAATCCGGAGATACTGAAGTTCTCGCTCTGAAAGCAAAGTGTGTGGGTGAGGAGCAGATGTAAACAAAGAGACTAAAACCCAAATCCTCACATGGAGGCGTCAACAAAGACAGGAGATGACTTAATTTTTTCTCCCTTTTTCCAAAACGAGACACGAATCTAGGTCAAAGTCGTCCATTTTTTGCAGACGTTAATGCAGATAAATATCAAAGAGGAGGAGTGATGTGGGGGGAGACAGAATCAGGCTGACGGGCTCCCTCAGTGCCACTTCCTGTCTCGTGTTTGGCTATATGAACCGAGTCCAATCGGATAGCGAAGGGTGAGATTTGGGGGATGGGGATGCAGGTTGGAAGAGGAGCTCTTCGCCTCCCAAAACGATCCGAACGTGTGAGAGCAATCAAAGCAAAAATAAATAAAAATGAAAAACAGCAGGAACTGCACAAGCAGCTTCCAGGCTGCGGCGTCCGACACCCACTCAGGAGATTTATGGCACTTTGTTAGCTGCAACCCAAACAGCCTCGAGTTCAGACCAGACCTGGAAATCAAACGCTGCCGGACGGAAAACCGTCCCAGAAGTTACTGCGATAAACGATTAATATCGCTGCTTTGAGATTATGTTCAATATAATCATGCCAAACTTTAAAATCTATTGACTATTTAACACTGGAACTGGAAGACATTTAAAATATCCAAATTAAATGAACAAAAAAGCATAAAAGAAAATTAATCATGAAGACTTTTGTCATTCAGAAAAGAGAAACAATAAATCATCATCATCATCAGAGAAATAATTGAGCTCATTTTAAGTTATGATGCGATTAATTGATTTATTCCATTAGTTCAGACGGAGCTGCGGTTTCCTCACTCAGTGAACCTGACATAAACCAAAAAAAGGTCACAGACATTAAGAATCTGCTTTGCTCTGACACAGAGACTGCATCGCCTGCTGCAGCTCTAGGCTCTGCGCCGCTCACCTTGCTGTCATCCACTCAGAGCATCTGAAATCTCCCAGGCAAAAGCGAAAAGGCACCAGGAAGACGCTGGAACCAGAAGCCTCGGCTTTACATCTCTGCTCCCCGGCTGCAGAGGAGGAGAAAATCCCCCCCGGTCACTTTGCAAAGCCGGTTTCCTCTACGCCGGGCCCGTCCTTGTGTCTGCAGCGGCGGCCGTGTCTCCCATTGTTCCAGGACGAGTGAGGCAGGCTTCCTCACCCCGACAGACCCAGCCTACTACAACAGCTGTGGACCAGCCCCCCACCTCTCTGCTGCTCCTCCTGCCTATCTGCTAAACATTAACCCTGCAGCTGCTGGCTCGCTCGGGCCATAAAGAGGCGGAGATGATGGCTGGTTGGAGGCGAGGAGGAGGGGGCTGCAGAGCGGACAAAGAGACGCAACAGAGAGGGGATATCCTACAGAACTGACAGCACTTCTGCGTGGATCCGTTCTGTGGCCTAGAAAGAAAACAGGCTCTGTGCTAAGAGGATTGTCTTCCTCAATCACTTTGGCAGGAGGTGTTGCGTGTGAGGAATGTGTGACTGCATGGAGGGAAATGGAAACCACTGGAAACTGAGGAAGCTTCATTGATACAAACCAGAGAATCCAGAAAATCTGATGGAAACCGAAGTGAACCTTCAAAATCAGGTTCAAATCAAAACCACGACTGGTTCTGTTTTCATCTGTCACCAAAACGCCACAATAAACACAAAGTTTCATTTTTTTTTTGCTTAGTTTAAGAATTTGTGTCGTTCATGTGCAACAGTGTAAGAGGTTTATTGGAGATAGGAAAAAAGGGAGTATGTTTCCACCAAAAAACTGACAATTTCAGCTTAATCTCAGAAATGTCCTAGTAAATACAGTAAACATCTTCGCTACAAAAGTTTCAAATTTGTTAGGATATAATTTTGAAATTTTGTGCTTAATTTAAGTAATTTCTAAAAAAAAAACAATAACTTTTCTGATTTCCAAAAATTTAAAATTTGTGAGAAAATAACTCAGAAATTTTGAGATTATTCTCAGAAATTGTCTAAACACAAAATGATTTTTTTAGCCTTAAATAAATAAATAAATAAAGGTTTATGTGAAAGTACAAACAAAATTCTTGGATTAATTGAGAAATTTTCTAGAAAAACAAGGAAATCTATGAGGTAAAATAGTTAAACATTTGTGGAAAGAACCTCGGATTTTTTTTTAAATTAAGTTTTTAAAAAGTAAGAAAAAATAAGTTTATGAAATTAAAAATTCAAACATTTTGAGAAAATAAACATGAAATTTTGAGATTAATCTCAGAAATATTATGGAATAAACAAGGACATTTATGAGCTCCAAAGTTTGTTTGTTCTCAAAATTCTGATTTCTTTTCTCAGATTTCTGACATTAATCACTGAATTGTGACTTTTGGTTTCAGAAAAAACTCTTCTAGTTCAAGTCAAACTGACAACCAGCTAACCGAGCCACCGCTCCGTTCTCATCAGTTTGTTTTCCAGCTGCTGGAGCATCGTGAAGGAATGTGAAGAGCAAACAGAAACAGAACGTCCAGACCGAACCGTTTCCAGTCTCCCTCCTGCTCATGTGTGAAAACAGTCGTGATTTCTGCAGCAGCAGCATCAGGGAGTTTTCAGCTTCACGGCTGCGTGTGGTTTATCCGTCCAGGTTTTCTCCCTCCCTCCCCATGTGACTCATCCGCTGTCCTTGTTAATGAAGCCACATCATCCCTCAGACATACCAGACGAACTCAGCAGAGTCTGATGACAAAAAAGCTGCAACAGCAACAACTAGAGAAGGAAAACATGAGTTTCAGGAGGACAAACAACCGAGCAGCTCCAAGGGCGTCTGCAGGTCATTTCAGGGCCTGATCTTATGGTTTGTAAACCAAAGAGGCAAAATGATGTTTTTGAGTAATGAGCGCCTCCCTCACGCTGCAAAAACGCTCAATTTAACCAAGTATTTTTGAGTTTATGGCGCCAAAATGCCAGTATTTTTAAAATAAGACAAAACTAACTTACAAGTAAGTTTTTAGCAAGATGTAAGAGCTTGTTTAAAGTAAATAATTCCTTAATGTTGATTTTAAAATGTACTAGAGCTACTGGTTAGTTATAGCTTTTTCAACTGCTGCGTGCAAATTTATTGCCATTTTATCGTCTTTTGTACATTTCTACTCAACAAAGGTCTTAAATTTAATTCAAAAAGGCCTTAAAAAAGCTTAAATTTGAGTTGGTGAACCTGCAGAACCACAACTTATAATAAATGTCTTGTTATAAATAAAATAATCTGCTAGTAAAACTAGTACTTCATCAATATTAAAGAATTATTGACCTGAAAAAAGCTGCTTTAATAATCTGAAAAGTTACTTATCAGTTAGTTTTGTCTTATATGAAAAGTTTCAAGATATTTGTATTGAAAACTAAATAAAAAAATGCAGTATTCATCAATTAATGAAAGTTGATAAGTTGAGCAAATATCTTAGTACGCTTGAAATAAAACAAAACTAACTTTAGGAGTGAATAATCCCTTAATCAGATTTTTTTTTAAATCAGATTAATTCATAGTAATATTTTTTTTAAATATTTTTATAAGCAGGTTTTACCAACTAAGACTTTAAGACTTGAATCAAGACAAAAATGTACAAAAATCATATATTGGAAATAACTTTACACTTACTCAAAGGATGTAAAAAAAAGCTAACTAGCAATCAAGGGGATACTAGCAGCTAGTTAGCGTTAGCCTCAACTGATGCAATGAAGATGTGACAGAAAATTCCTGTAAAAAAAAAAAACCCCTGCATAGGAAATATGGGAATAAGTCATTCTGCCACAACAAAATTTAAGACCTGTGATTAATGTACCAAAGGAAAACTTGCATTTTTTTAGTTTTAGAGGCATGAATTTAAAACTTTTTTAAGGACACAGACATTCTGTATAAGTGAAATAATTTCAATCAAAATTAAACATTTATTGACTTAAAGAGCTCCTCTATCTTTTTGAAAAGTTAGTTTTATCTTATTTTATGTGTACTGAGATATTTGCACCAGAAATTAGTTATAAATGTTGTGTTTTTGCAGTGCAGAGTTCTGCGTTCAGCGTCTTAAAAGCACATCCAGACGATTTGAATGCTGATTTTTTTGCATCATTTTGACCTGAATGCAGCAGACAGAAAGATCTGACCTGAATCGACTCCGCCCGTAAAGCTCACTTCCTATACGGTGAAAATCCGGCGCCCCGGGGCGCCAACATGGCGGCCAATGGGTTCAAACCAGTCACTCGGATCTCGGGCCACTCCGTTTGGCGAGGACGGAGCTGCCCCAGATTCACGGAGGAATTACAGCTTTCGTGTCTGAAATCAGAGGGTGGGGAAGGAGGGGCGGCTTTGTTTCTACCAAGACGAACGATAAATCCCATATGCAAAAAAACAATCAGTTTAATCAATTCAACAGGAAACGTGTCAGGATTTATCGCCTTATTACTGAAACATGTTTTACAAGCTGCCATGCAGACAGAACAGAGCAGAGATTTATAAAAATATATTATTTATGTATTATTTATCTTTGGTAGTGAGTTCCATGTTTGAATATTTCTATGACATTTTTTCTGAAGAACAAATAAGTTCATTTTCCACCTCATTCAAGTTCACATTGGCAGCTGCACTGAAAGAACACAAAACCTTCTGAAAAGTCAAAATTTTACTAGAAAAACCCAGAAATGTAGAAACTAATCCCAGAAAACATGGGCTGAGTTTCAAAATTTTAGACTTTTGAACATATTTTGGTGATTTTCCAGAAAGTTTCAGAGGCTAATCTCAAAAGTTTTTAGGACATTGTCATAATTTAAAAGTCAAACATTTTGGACGCTTGAAGAATTTTGACACTTTAAGCTCAGAAAGTTTTTTTTCTAGAATTTGTTTTTTTGATTAGATAAAAAATTTCAGAAATTTTTCTTGCCAATTTCTAACTTTTCAAACTCAAATTTCCTTGTTTTTTTTTGTGTGTGTTTTTTTGGGGGGGAAATTTTAAGTGGTTTTTGGCAAGATGGGATTACGCACCCATAGTTCCCAGTGTGTAAATTTACACTAGAAAATAAGTCAAAAATACGACATTTTTGGCTTTTAACTCAAATTTTCTTGTTTTTATTTTCTAGAAAGTTTCTGAGATTCATCTCAAAATTTCCATGTTTTTCCTCACACAATTTTGACTTTAGCAATGTAGAAATGTACAATTTTTTCCATAAAACTTTCAGCTATTAAGCTCAACATTTCCGAAAATCTAGCAAATTTTAAACTTTTCAAACTCTGAAATGTTCTTATTTTTTATGATAAAACGAGAACATTTTTGTTGTTGTTGTTGTAAATGTACTCCCCATTTTTATTTGAAAAAGAAACTAGACCAAAAACACTTGGAGACTTTTTGCAGTGCAGCTGGCCGTGACTCAGCATGCTTTTTGCTGGATGAAGGACTTTTAGCAGATTGTCGTCGCTCTGCTGCGTCAGAGACAAACTTCTGTATGAACTAAATGGGACGTTGAGCGAAAAGCTTCCCCAACATGACCTGAAAGAGTCACATGCTGCCCTGCAGCCGACGACTCCAAACAGAAAAGCCTTATTGTCGCCCAGAGAAAACCTTCAATAACCCAACGAGAGGAAGTGAAGGGTGACTACATGAATCCTAAAGGAAGGAAGTTTACTGCAGGCCGACCCGCATGGCGGCATGTGACGGCCTCCGGCTGCCAAGGAAACACGGAGAACAGCAGCGAAGTCACGCCGCCGACGCTAGAGCTTCACGAAGAGACACAATCAGACCCCAAAGACACAAAATGGAAAGGCAGCACCGATTAACAAATGAATATCGATTAGTGATCAACTGGAGCGATTAAGGAAATCGGTGAATACGTTTTTATCACATAACCAGAAAAGTAAAACCCAACAAATAGTCTGATTTTTTGGGAAATTCATCGCAGATCCTCAACTTGAAAAGGATTTTACTTCCTTCCTTGGTGAACAGATTTTATTAACTTTCTAATCTTTACATTTTTTCTCGTTTGAATTTTTTAAAAACTAAACCAGAAGGCCATAATTTCCTCATATCATAACATCAAGAGGAGATTTTCTTCTTCTTCTCTGTTTTACGACGCCGGCCTTAAACTTGATTTGAGCTCCTAATGTTTCTGAGGTGGAGCAGCAGAGAAAGCCAATCTCTGCAGCTAAACTACAAACTATAAACAAGCAATTCCAGTTTATGAATCATTTTATGGATCCACTGAGAAAGAAAGATGACAGATCAGCTCAAATCAAAACAAACTTCCATCAGCGCTTGCAGAGACAGATCCGTCAGCAGATGTTTGGTCGTGGAGAAGAATAGAGCGAAATGTTTGCACCGCTGTTGTAAATCA